TTATTTTACGTTCATATCAAGCAAATGAGTTTTTTGGTTGTTATGGGATTATTTTCTTTGAAACATAACAATGTGCTTTCTTTCTAACCTTGTACAAATAGCATGTTGTTACAGAATGCTACAATTATACCTTACATATCACTTTTAATCAGTTTCTAGATTTATAAAAGTACAATGTCATGTTTTCATCCCAGTGCTTTTGCAATTTGTTCAATGCACTTGCTGATAACTTTATGCCTTAATAATTATTCATATATTTTTTTACAGTATAATGTTGTGTCACAAGCTGTAGTCTGGTATTACATGTCCACATATATTGTGGATTAATAGATTGTGGACTTTGTAAGCCCTTTTATCTAGGTTGCAGTTTAAGGAAGAGCATGTGATTCATATATGAAAAAGTGTTATTATTAAAAATATATAGTTTTCTTACTAAAATAATTTATTTTATGCCTTTACTACTTTGCTGCCTTATCTTACTTGATTAGTTGACTGTACAATTTTTGTATTAGGAAGCTCTGATGGACTACATCGTGCAGTCTGACACCTCACTGCTACAGGACTCTGATTTTCTCCCCGTGCGGCTGCTTGTCAAGAAGCAATGAAGAACCTGCAGGCTGAGATCCAGCAGCTGAGTGACGAGTTGGAGTACCACAAGTCTCTGCTGGCTGTGCCCAGACAGTTAATGAGGCTGGCTGCTGACCTCTACCAGTCTCTGCTGGGGGTGTCCCGTCTCTCTCCTGCCTATTACTTTTCCCTACATGGCTTCATCACAGTAATGCAAGAGGCCTTTCTCATGAAGGATAGACCATTAGTGCCATATACTATTTTGAAAATGCCAAAGGAAGTAAAAGCAGAGGTCACAAACAGGATGGTAACCCAAATGTTGCTCCAATACCGGCCTCTTCTCTTCAAGAGTCATGTTGCTGTTCTGAAGCTGCTGGTGTCTTTGACTCGACTTCAACATAACCAGCTGTGCTCTGAGACTGAGAGGGTGGCTTTTATCAGGGGCTTTCAAGACATAAAACATCCTCTCACACATATAAAACCTTGTCTCCTTCCTCCTACTCTGTCACCTTCCACTAGTGCTTTGCCATGCTGGATCCCCTCTCATATTCACCAAGAGCTCCTCTGCTTGGAAAAGATGCCGGACTTTGGTGGGTTGATTGCCTCTCTCTCCGCTTTCCAGACACAGTGGCAGGAGTATCTTCGGTTCCCTTCCTCCACTGTAGCAGGAGCTATTCCCTGTTGCTCTCACTCCCATCTGTCCGTGCTGCAGCGGGCTCTCCTCTGGAAGACTGTGAACCCTGACTGCCTGGAGGGACTAGCTGAGGCCATGGCTGCCCACCACTCTTTTCTTCCTGGACAGAGAGGAGGGACTGAGGCCCCTTACAGTGGGAACCCAAAGGCCCTATTACAAGTTCTCGTCAAACATAAGGGACCCATCATTCTCACATTACCCAGTCCAAGTGGAGATAAGTCGACAAACATTCAGCCTCTTTATCTAATAAACACACTGGCCCACTGTGTTGCAGGAACAAAACAGGTAACAGGCTCTTTCATTGTGTTTGAAGTTAAGGTTTTTACCAGACAATTAACCATGCAATGGTATGCGCCAATAATGTTATAATTTTTTTATGTTATGCTGCACATGCATCCCAGGTTTTGAGTTGTACATCTGGCCTATGTAAACAAGATAATTGATACCGATTAGCTTCCATTACACAAAAGCTAATGCTAGCATTTTATCTCTTCCTAGTTGGCATTATTTCAGCTAGGAAACATGTACCTTTCCTTTAAATCCTGTAACACTACCATTTATCTTTCATACTATCTTGTTAATTGCTGAATGTTAACGGTAACCATTGTTTAACTGTAGTGAATGGGTTATGTTTTACTTTGAAGCACAAACGATTTCCCTCTTGATTTTTAGCTTTCATTGCTTTTTCAGTTGACATTCGAATGGAGACTGGTGAAATTATTATAATTATTCAGATACCCTATAACCATTTGACCTGCAACCTAAAACACAGCAGCAAAACATTTTGTAAAGTCATTTCAGTCCCTGAGGGTGACTTCAGAGGAAAATAATAGTTGTTTGAATATCAATCCAGTGTTTCATTCATGAATTTGTTTCAGGTTCAGGTGAAAGTCATTTCTCTTGGGGCTCTGTGTGACAGAGACATGATTCTTTCAATGCTGGAAAAAGCTGTTCATGAGGGCCACTGGTTGGTTTTTAACAACTGTCACCTGTTTGAACAATGGGATGATAAAGTAGTGGCTCGCCTCAGATGGTTGATCTCATCTCTAAGAGGTAGGTGGTATTTCAAGGATCCATTTTTCAAATGTTATTGCTAATGTTCATAAAATGATTTAACCCAGTTTCTTTATTCAACTATATTCCTATCTGAAAATGTGCCTGTCTACATACTGGTTTCATAGATAACCAAAGCCTGAGTCACCCTTGCTTCCAGTTATGGTTTATAACACAAGAATATAAATCATGCTCCATACCAGGTAGGTGTATTGTATTGTAATTAATGAAAATATTCCTTTTATGGTGCATTAAGAGCTGTTGGTCCATTTTTATCCTTTTAACAGAAAACATTAAGAAACCATTACTTTTTCTTGTCATCAGCAATATGTGTGAATGTTTGTTAACATGATCTTATTTTCTTCAAGTAAAACAACAACCTCTGATATCTTGGTTTTTATTTAGTTGTAATTCTAATTTCAATTTAACTTGTATTTATTTTGAAACAGCTGCTATGCGACTGTGTGCCTTTCCTCTGGTCTGTGACTCTCCATGGGATCTGAAGGATGAGCTGAGCAGCTCTTTTCGTGAAGTGGTGTCCATCGTGCAGAGAAAATCACAGTGGGACGTGACAGCAGACAACAAGGAGCTTCTCCTCCGCTGTGCCATCTTCCACTCTGTTTTACTGCAGAGACAGAGCTATAAATACTTAGGCCAAGGCAGAATATACAGTTGGTGAGGGAATGTGCGAACATACTGTGTATTGAGTTTATTTAGGATATAAGTGTTGTCTTGTCAAATATTTGTACTCTTGGATTTAAATTGAAACCATATATGAGCTGAATTAATGTGATAATTGAGAAACAAGATCAATTCTTTAAAGTGTGGACGTGTCCTGCAGCGCTATGAATTAATGCATGTTGATTTTTTGTGTTTTGAAGGGGTCAGGACGACCTCCTGGCTTTGATTGATGCCCACTTCAGTGTTGCCAATCACTGCCATGACAGGTTCCAGGCTTTGCATTACATAGCAGGTGAAGCAGCATCACTCGTTCATACTGAAATTATATATTTTTTTTAGCTTGTGCTTTAACTTTTTCAACTTTTTATTCATAGTCAATCTTGTGCATGGTGGCCATGTACTGGACTCTGCAGATTTCAAGGTGTTGGAGAGTGTTGCAGAGACCTGCTTCAGTAGAGCGTCACCTCTCTTGGGCAGTGGACCACACATCCTCTCCGATATTATTATCAAACCTGGGGACTTTGGTAACCTTATCTTACACACTATACATCTGACAGGCTAATTAATTAGAAAATGAACTAGAGAATATGGACCCCCTTTCCCCTATCTTGAAGTATAGCTGAGGATTTTGTGAGGTGCCATTCTTGATTTCAGCATCAAAATTAGCCTTTCTTATTTAATAATTACAGACTAGGAGCAGGATGTTCAAGCCTAAGAGCCTCACTGGATGTTTCTTTTTGTAAAACATTCTTTATTGGGACAATTTATTGACTTTGCCTTTTTTTTATGCGTCCACAGATTTGTCAGAACTACTGCAGGTTTTGGAGAAGAATTCAGCAAACATAAATGAGCCTCTTATGCAAGGTTTCAGTGGTGAAATAGCAGCTGAGAGAATCAAGATCAATAGCCAAAACTTGAATATACAACTACAGGCTTCCCAGACTCCTTTAGGATCAGTGAGGACTTTGTGCCCCCAGCTAAACCCGTCTGCCTCACTGCCGGCCTACAACCAGGCTAGAGACAGACTGCAAACTCTGAAACGTTACCTCACACACAAGAACAAGAGCATGGATTCAAATGCAGAAGCTGTTTCTCCCAGTCCTCTACGTGACTTTCTCCAGACTGAGTTGGATGATCTGATCGATTTGGTGCACTTGCTCCTCTCACAGCTCCAGCATCCTGTTCAATACAACACGTCAACCTTTGCTTCCCTCCTTGAGCTCACTGACTTGTCTTTCTTGGAGAGGAGGGCAGAATTGCTCAGTGCTTACCTCTTGCATCTCAACACTTCAGATCACCTGGTGCTATCGACTATCTGCTTTCAAAAATGCCAGAGGCTTTCTGGCGGCAGTCATGAGAGAGGCTACTCTAGTAAATCGCAAAAATTGCAGTGACATTGTTCTGCATTTTCAGGTAAAACATACACAAACAAATGATGAAATCATTGTTAAATTGCCTTGCGAGTTTGGAACCCACTCAATTACGATATTTATTTCTTTAATCTGTAACTCTTTTCACTTTTTGCATATTAATTAGTAAAGTTGCTCTCTCCTCTCTAGGTTCTGAGTGACAGTACATACCCAGCTTCACTTCCCCTAGATGCTGTGTATTTGTGTGGCCTGGAGCTAAGTGGTGCATCCTGGGATACACAGCTAGGAGCCCTGCAGGACACAGCCTCTCCACAGCCTGGCTCATTGCCCCTTGTTTGTGTAAAGGCTCAAGTTAGGAGCACAAATATTGCCCGAAACACATCCTCTGATAAAAGTTCACCTTTAAAGGATGCACAGGTTACACAGACTTCTGCATCAAATGCCCGTCAGTTACCTCTCTATGACTGTCCGCTCTATCTCGACAGAGACCGCAAGAGGGGGAACTGGGGACTAGCAGATGTTAACATTATCACTATGGTTCCACTTCATTCCAAACTAAATCCTGTGCTGTGTAATTTAAGGAGAGTGAGGGTAGTGAGCATGCTCTGAAGAGATCCACCTGATTAAATCTGCTTTCATGGAACAAACCGAAAATTTGAAAATCTCTGGATTGATCGAAATCCCTCTTCATTGGGACTCTTGCTCACATGAATTTATGCATTTACCTGGAAATGTCATTGAAAAATGCCTCTTTACATTTTTTTGTAATGTTTTGAAATGTTTCATTAAAATGGTAACAAGATGTTATAATGCCAATTAATTTTTGTGTTATTTAGCTGATCCTCCAGCATAAGTGTTATATGTGGTTAAAAGTCTACTGCATACATGCACACATAGCTATCTCACGTGGACACAGAAAATGCCAACAAATAAATGTAAAATAAAGTTTGTGTTGTACTAATGTTTGCATTTTGTAATTTATCTTTGCGTGTGTGTGTGTAAACAGCTGTTTCTTAGATATCTAACAAAAAAATCCAAATACATTGCTGGTCAATGAAAGCTTTAAAAAATGGTACATTTCTTAATGTGACAAAGCTGTAAATGGAAAATCATCGAAACATCGACCTTTAATACTTGTCAAGATTTCAATAAATATTACTTTTTGCATTTACTATGTAAATCAAGGTTTTCACTTGAGTTAGCCGTGACTAACTGCTAGTTGATCTTACCAAATTATATTTCTTCTTCTTCAGGTAACATGGACAGGCATCATTATGAAACTTTTGAGAAGTTTGGCAACAATACTTTCCTAATACACCTTGACAATGGAAGGGCGTGAGTATTAGGAGTAGTCCTCAGGGTTGTAGTCGTGACTTGTCTTGCATTATTCTTGATGTGTTCTCAATGCAGATTTGGGCGTCACTCCAAAGATGAACCATCTATCCTGACTCCTCTAGCGCAATGTTGCAGGTACGGCAGCAGGTATAGTTTTACAACCCATGCTGCCTTGTTGCCTTGTGACAAGGCAGCATGGGATCAAAGAATGGGATCAAATGCATTGCTATCTTTTATAAATGTATGCTGTGTAGTTATTCACTTTTTTTTACTTCCAGTTGAGTTCAGTTACCCAGAATAGTATTTTAATTACTCACGGTTAATTAAGATTTGTGAAATACTTTTACACTTAGCCATGTTGTATGAAAGAAAACACACTTACAAAAACACCTTATTCTTGACAACATCAGACACTGTTTTGCACCATTTTCTCTTTTTTTTTTTTTTTTTCCTTTAGCCACTCCATCCTGTTCTCCCATTTCTCTCAGCCTCTCTAATATTGAGCTTTGTCTCTAGAATCCGTCACTCCACCTGGCTGCGTCTGCGTCTGCTGTCTCTTCCAAAGTATCGTCTCAGTGATGTCATGAGGGCCTCACTTTCCAATGATCCCCTCCACAAAGTGGCTCCATTGCTATCGGAAAACCACCTTACTGCTCTGGACCGGCGTTTGAAAACTGTGTTGGAGACTGTAGACCGTTGCCTTAAGAGAGCCACTGAGGATGGCGGGCGTGATGGGGTACTGTACCATGACATTGCCAACTTGAAAGACATGATCACACCTGCTGGGTAGGACGGATTGTACCCAATCCCTGGATTTTTAAGTATATGGTCGATGTCACGCTAGTACATGCAAAAGCTTGTGAGCAGTTTATCAAATTCTTGAATTGTTTGCCCAGCAAAAGTAAATCAGGCTGTATCTTAGGGGGAAATTAGTAAAAAGGCTTTGACACTTAAAAAATATGTAATTCTGTAATCTTAACAATGTAATGTAATGTAACTCAAATGTTTTATGATGAGTATAAATACAGTATGAAAGTATGTAATGATGGATCACATTTTTGGTAAGATTTTTAACCAATGTGAGAATTTTCAGCAATTTCTCTGGAAGTATGTGAAATTGTTGGTCTCCCAAATGTTCAACACAGTAATGCAAAAAATAGAAACAAAACTTAAGTTTTGAAAGTAAAGGGTTGTACCTATGTGTAAAATAAAGGGGAGCTGATTTAGGACAACTTCCTAGAGATGCTGGTTTGTTTGACTGGGTTTTATTTTTGTCTTTTTTTTAAGCATTCTGTAACAATGATCATTTTTCTCAATATTAAAATAGCACTTTGCCGTACCTTGTCTTACATTGAATCAATCTTTTTTTAAGGTGACAAACAAGATTATGTCAAATGTGTAAACTTAACACAATACAGCAGTAGAATGACAGTGGTTTAACTGCTTTATTAAGTACTGAACATCATAAGAGCCCTGTAAATGTTAAATAGCATCTTCTGATCCTTTAATGCATGGATACATTGATTCAACAACTTGCTTCAACTTCATACAACTAAAAATAAGGAATAATAGATGGGAGCTTTAATTTGGATTCAACATCTTTATCTGTTAAAGCACATAAAAGGAGCTCCTTATATCATTTTAATCTACCTAACATGTGCTATGTACTGTATATGGTAATGTCTACGGATATTTGATAAGGGAGTCTTGTGATGCAGACCTGAATTTGTAATTTTCTTTCATAGAGTTTGAAGAGTTGAAAAAAAAAATTCTAGTAGTGTGGGGAGAAATGTCTTTGTATCTAACTGCAAATGTGTTCTGATTATATACCTTTTTTCAGTACGTAGTTTGTTTCAACACAATTGAGGTCCCTCAGGTGTAAGTCTACGTCACAGCTAATTGTGCAGCTGGCTGTCCCCCCTTCTTCTTTCCTTTCAGAGCTTCCATCAATAATTTACCTTGCCCGGCCATATCGATGTCACCTGCTCCCTTTTCTCTTCCCATCGTTCGCTTACTCGTTCTTTCCACGAAAACTGCTGATGACAAGTGTGGTCAAAGAGCTCATTTACAAGTGACAGAAGAAAAGAGTAGAGAGAAGGAAGCACTATCTTTCTATTAGACAGGTGTTAACAGTCTTGAACTATAGGGACGGGGACTGTGGGAACGCAGTGAAGGTGACTTTCACTGCTCCAAGACTTTGATACACAAAGGACAAGAAATGCCAGAGGAAGCTTCTTCAGAAGTTTGAATGGGAATACAGAGTCCTTACAGAAATCCATTGTGCCTCTGGCGTCCATTCTTTTAGGTTTTTTTTTGTTTGACTTAAGTTTATATTATCTTTCAAATTGTTCACTATGTCGGCAGCCACCAGTGACCAGCTGCACAGAACAACCTTAACTGTCTATGCGGTGAGTCTTTATCAGCTCTTTGTTGTCTCCTCTTGGTCTAAATGACTTGGCTGAGTATATATCAGATTTAAAATGTCAAGGTGTTTAGTGATAGTTAAAGTTTTTTTGGTGTGTTTCTGTTTCTGTGCTCTAGAACCTGATGGAGCAATTCAACCCTGGCCTCCAGAACCTTGTTGCTCTAGGAAACAGCTACGTCAATGCTTTCCAAGGTGAGTATGTTTCTCTTTCAGTGTGTGTGGGTACAGATATTTTCAGACGTTATTGTTGGACCTTTTTTTTTTTCAATTGTTTTTTTTATATCAACATGTTCTTTGAAATTACCTAAAGGTTGATTTTATTTAGGAACAGCATTTCTTTGGTTTTGCATGCATTACAAAAATAAACGTGTCGTACTTTTGATTGTGCAGGGGACCCAAAGGGACCTTAAGAGGAATGTCATAAACCTGCACAAAACAAAATCCACGAAGAAGCCACAGAAAATGTGTTTCTATACTCATTTGATGCACCTGTTGTCCTACAAACATGAGGCACAGAAGTAAAGAAGAGAGGCTTTTGGTTGTCACTCACTGAATTTGCCTGACCCTCCTTATCCTTACTGTCTACGTTCCTCCAGCCTTGATTGTCTGTTATGTTTGTAGTCAGCTAATCAGCATGTATCATTAATGCATCTCTCTGCCTGATAAAACAGGAAAAGGCTGCCAGTCATAGGGCAATAAGGCAGCATGGGTTGTAAAGCTATACCTGCTGGCTTGAGGCTATTTCTAGACCAAAGCACATATCACCTGTCAGCAATGTGAGGCTTGAGTTCATGATGTATAAACGCAGAATTTATTGACCTACCAGGGGCAGTTTAACCTGCTGTGGTGTTACTTACAGTCCACTTTTTTTTAAATGTATAGTATTTAAAAAGTCAACAGTGCATTTCATACGTGTGTTTCCTTTAGCCTTAGCTGTTTGCAGCGAGGCGTACTTCAGCGCTGTGGCTAAGATGGGTGATCAAGCGCTTCATACATTTTCATCTCGCTCTCTTGGTAAGTGTGTGTGTTTTTGTTGTGTTTTGTGTGCGATTGATTACACAGCCTCTCCAGTACAGATCTCACCCTTAATTTATTACAGTCATTACGGACATAGAGTAGTGCTCAAGAGATAGCCCAACCATCGTTAAAAATACCACACTCAGTTCTCTTTAAGAGAAGAGAAGAAATAAAACATATTCCTCCAATGATACTACATCTCTGTGTATCACCATTTATTGTGGATCAGGATTGCATAATCCTGATTTTCATGCCTGGGATGTGTGATAGCATTGTTAGGGACAATGAGCATTATGCTTGCAAGTCCCCAATCTGACACACTAGTGCTAGCATAGCATAACACACGTGGTCCTGCAAAGTTGGCTAACTTGAGAAGGTCAGAGAACCACAGCGTGACCAGGAGGACCTATTGAGTGAAGGCCTCTAAATTATGGATGTGGACCTTCTTTCAGCTGCACTCATTCATTAACTCAACCACAGTCCAGGACAAAAGACGTTACCAGAGGCACCTATTATATCAAAGGCTTAGCTAACTTTCCACTATCGTATCAGCCAAGGTGGTTTGATTGAAAAACCCTCCAGATGACTTAAGCAATGCTGTATTGTCTTAAAGCCATGTATCAAATTTCCAACACATTATTCATATCTCCTGAAGTGTTCTTTTGTTTTATGATGTTTGAGCTGTGACATGTGTGAAGTATAGTTATGATATGTGGCAGATTCATTAGAGGCTTTTTTTTGTTTTTAACAGGGGATGTCCTTATCCAGATATCAGACACACAGAGGAGACTCACTGCAGAGATGGAGGGTGTGGTCAGTACATCATTCATTCAGTACTCATGTTTTCACACCAAAACATGGAGTCCCAACAGTCTTAGAATTGCAAACTGAGGGCCTGATTCATAAAAGGATTGCACAGCCTGCTAAACCTATGCAAGTGTGTCAAAAAGACAAAACAAATAGGTTAATGCTCCTCTAACTGCGCTGCGGAGCAATGTTTGAGTGTGCTTTGTGTGTATATTTAAATCAGCAGTCATTTGGGGGAAAAATTAGCACCTTTATTTGCAAATCGGCCAAATTGTAAAAAGCAGGTCAGTCAGCAGCTGGACAGATCATCCACATCTGTCTGGAACCATTACGCATGATGAGGATGTGAGGGTTTTTTTTCTTCTCCAAGTTGTCCTTGCTTGCTACATTCAGGGAGGATGTTCTTAGTAACATGATGGAAGTCAAGTTGGTTTTTTCAAGTCTGGCCTTTCAGTACACTTGAAAAGCTTCCCCCTCGCCTCATCTTTGTTTGGACAAAATTGTGTTCTGTCAGCATGAGAGCACAGCTCCATGAGAGTGCAGCTCCATGCTGAGTAACGGGTCAGACAGCTTCTCTTCACTTTTAGACGCAAAACAAGAGCAAACAGAATTGGGTATGACAACTTTTGTGTGTGTTTGCGCCTGAATATCATAAGCACTATATGCAGCGGAGCCGATAGCGGGAGCACATAATTCAAACGTTTTTGAAGCTATTAGCGATTAGTGAATCAGGCCCTCAATCTATAATTACTTTAAGACTTTAGGTATCTTCAAAATTATAACAAAAATATCGTAAATCTTTCATTGGTTTCTAATTTTGCTAGTGACAGAACAAGCTAGTCTTTTGTAAATCAAGAAATTTAGTTTTTGATGGATCACAAATTAAACTGATGGACCAGAGATAAACAAGTGATGTGAATAAGAACAAAATTGTCTCTGATTAAAACACTGGCTTTAGGATTGAGCACATTTTCAGACAGACTTAGTCCTAATTAGGACAACTATTGCTTTTACAAGGGGACATGTTCCATAATGACTTGGCTATATCACAAGGACTTTTCCATTCCTGCTTCAGTTTCGGTGGTTTCAGGTTGAGGTGTTGCAGGCCATGGACAAGAACACCAAGTTGGATGAGGAGTACATTGAGGTGAGTTAGCAGCAATGGGAAAGTTCATGTTTTAATATATAACCTTCCATGAACTGGGTTTATCAGAGGAATAATTTGGATCCTTATGTCTGGAGTAGGGCTTGTGTAATTTCTTTATTTTAATTGTACTTTGCAGAAGGTTAGTATAATCAATACTGTAACTGACCAAAAACGGTTTCTTTCTGGTTTCTGGCCAATTGCTGACAATCTTTGATCTATTGTAAGGACTACCGTAGTTTATTGCATTTATTACATTATCATCAACGTGAACCTGAAACACACAGACTCAGTAATGACATTCTTGTTCAAAAGTGTCTGTTAAGTGATTAATTTGTAGGAAATATCTGCTAGAGGGTAGAATCAGGAAAACATTTCATTATCACAGTAGAGCTTGTCTTTTGCGCTGCAGGGGAGTCGCAGAGTGTATGAACTGGAGGTGAGAAACCAGGCGGAGACTTTGGAGAAACAGCTGAGACGAGGATCTTACAGGGACTCCTTGGTAAATAATAGAGTGCACAAATGAGACGGAAACCAAGCTCCCCATCATTCACACTCATTCTGATGCACTTTCTCAGACACAGATGGACATTGGAACAGACACAGTCCTACATACTCAACTAGGTGATAGTGTACATTTATTGTGTATATTCTGTACAGTGGAAATGACAATTATGTCCACAGATATAAATACAGATTGTCCATTTCCCATTTCCATGCTGCAGAGGATGAAGCCATATTTCATACAGTGGCCTATGTGTGTTCTGTATAAGAAGGAAGACAATGGAAGTCAGAGCACACATTTTCTCCCCTTTTTTTTTTATGTTTACAATTCAATGGTTTTTGGAAATTATCTTGTTGGCTGCCTTGACTGAGGAGGGCGGCAGTCCATTGGGGTGCTGGTTGCCCACCCCTGTTCTATAGGATGGGACTTGTGCCACATGTGTATAAACATAATGTCCCTGTGTGTGTGTGTGTGTGTGTGTGTGTGTGTGTGTGTGTGTGTGTGTGTGTGTGTGTGTGTGTGTGTGTGTGTGTGTGTGTGTGTGTGTGTGTGTATTTCAGGAGAACAGTGAGTACATGTTGTATCTGAAGCAGAGCCGACAGGAGATCCTAAAGGAGGAGGAGAGGAGGTATCGCTTCCTCGCAGAGAAACATTGTGGCCTTACTCAGTCACTGCTCTTCCTTATTAACAAGGTTAACACAAACACACACACACACACACACACACACACACACATACAGACAAAAGCATAGCAGAATCACACAACAACAGAGGAGGACACAGCAACCAGACAAAACAAACATACATAGATCCAGGGACATGGCCAGAGGAGTGGCCAGGGGAGGTATGTCACTGTCACACTTTGGTAATCGATGATGTAGTGCATACACAAGATAAGATAAGATACATAAGAGTTGAATAGTGCCCTAGAAAGAGTTGTGGAAACATAGTTTTCCAAAAATAATGCATTTTCAGCGTTGGACACAGTTAATCAGCATATAATAATAGTAATAGTAAAAGTATAAACACCCTGGCTCCAACCCTACACAGCATGTTTTTCTCTGTCCATGTGATAACATATTAATTTGCTTGATTATCTGATGAAACTCACACTTTACTGTGCACGGCCTCAGAGTCCTGCCTGATCAGGTTCAGCTTTAATAAGTTGCTCACAACTCATCTGTTTTCAGACCGGTGCATCTCTTCAACAGAAAGCAGATGGATGGAAGGAGAAAGTGAACGACACTAAAGGGTCCAGACCTCGGACTCCCACTCAGTTAGACCAAGATGCACAGGTTCCCCATGCATTAAGTTTTTTTTTCTTCTTGCAATCGGTTTGATCAAATGTAAACATGATACTCTGTGATTTAATATTTCATGTACCAGAATGAAGCTGTACTGACTT